CAATGGGTGCTCATCCCAGCTCCAGCCCACACCCTTTGCAGAGATGTGTTTGTTTCCGAATATTAAACTCCACCTGAGCAGTCATTTGTTACAAATAACCCATTTTATTCTCATCATCTCTTTTGGAATTATCCAAGAACCAATTTCTTTTCATTTTTAAAATACTTTCTTTTATTATTGCTTTAAAAAAATTCTGAGTACCTTTATAGATTTCTTTTGATTTGCCTGATAGGTGCTGATATTAAAATTCCTGCTACACAATTGGAAAAATAATTTATTTCTGTGACTTCAAAAGCAAGGTAATAGTCACTCCAAAGATGACCAACCATGTAAAAGCCCACTTCAAAAGTTCTCTCAAATGTATTGGAAACCCATTTATTCAACAATCATTTACTGAGTGCCTAGGACCCCTGGGGATGGCTAGGGTCATAAGATAAAATATGATCTTTGCCCTCAAGGAGCTGATTCTAGTTATGATCCGCTGGGAGTCTAACCATAATCGCTGTGCATTGTTCAATATTTCCCTTTTTTGTTGATCTACTTATTTCAGAATTCAGGACCTATAGGTTGTCCTGGCAACTTATAAACCAAATGTATTGGAGCTGGGAAGAAAGGTTCTATCTCTCTCCTCCGGGAGACTGACAACCAATGCAGATCAAATGGAACAGCTACAACTATGGCTCATATGCTCTCTGTGAACCACTAACTTACCACTTCTTCTTTGTGGCTTCTTTTGACCTTTAGATTTGCCCAGCAAACTACAGCATTTATAGCCCTTTCCTATTCATTATTACATTTGATTCTTGTCATAACCTATCCCCAGCTTAGTAAGGTAGTAAGATTATTTTAACCCCACTCTATAGGTGAAAAAACTGAGGCCCAGAGATGTTAAGTCACTTGCCAAAAGGTCACCCAACCAATAGACAGAAGTATAAGCCTCCACACCTTTTGAGATATTCTTCAGTGTTGCTTGCACCAGCCTGTAGGATCTCTTGGACAAGTCTGATAATTTCAATCCTTCATAGTGACCAGTGTCACAAAGCTGATTTGATCATGTTTATGAATGTTAGTTGTGATATAAGCAGAAACTTCAAATTTGGAGATTATTTTAAAAAATAACTATTAAATTCTTTTCATTTTGAACTGTACTTTCAACTTAATGTCTAATATCTTTCTAACTTTGGGCATGGGATTTCTGAATCTGCACAAGCAGATGAGAGGAGCCACCTGCCTCCAGTGGCTGTCTAAAAGCTGAAGAGAAGCAGAAAGGTTTTTAAGGGCACTATTTACATAACAAAATGAGATGGAAAAAAATCTGTCTGAGACACCATTTTCCTCAAAGGTCATATCTTACTTGACATGTTAACAACCGAAAACCTGAACTCAAATGCCACACACTAAAGAGTTTTTCCCAGTAAAGAGCAATTGATTCTGTGAGTCTTAGGTAGCCAAAGGAGCTCTGGTGGCACAGTGGATAAAGCACTTGGCTGTCAAACCAAAAGGTCCACAGTTTGACAGTTCTGCAAAAAATACAACCACTGCCGCAGAGTCAGATACGACCCATGGCGACCACTCCTTGGGTTTCCAAGGCAGTATCACTACAGAAGTAGATTGCCCCATCTTCCTTCCAAGGAATGGCTGGTGGGTTTGAACAGCCAGCCTTCTGGTAAGCAGTCAAATGCCTTAGGCACTACACCACCGGAGCTCCTTCTCCATCCTATAAGGTCGCTAAGAGTCAGAATCAACTCTGTGGCAGTGGATTAAGTAGCCAAGGACCTTGTAACCCAGAACCATCAGACACATGCAAGAATGAAATTTGCAACTTAAAACAGGGTTTAATACTGTCAAGAAATTTGAAGATTTTGTAGTTTTCCCAATTAAACAAGAATCAAACAAGTGAATAGTCTTATTCTTCTGTTCCTTGTAAGCCGAGAGGTCAATTTCCATTGTAGAATACCAGAGTTAATTTTAATTTAAGAAATAAAGGGGAGAAAAAAAAAAAAAAAACAGTTGCTGTTTGGTCACTTTTGATTCATGGAGACCTCAAGTGTATCAGAGTAGAACTGTGCTCCATAGAGTTTTCAGGAACTATTCTTTCAGAAGTAGATCACCAGGCTTTTCTTCTGAGGTGCCTCTCAGTGGACTCAAAGCACAGCTTCTCCGTTAACAGCATAGCCCCTTGACCTTTACACCACTAAGAAACTCCTAACTATCGATACTGTATTTTGCTACTAAAAAAAAAGAAAAAATAGCATGGTGCATTTACAAAAATGCCTCCCAGAGGGAGGGAGCAGTTGGCAAACAATCTTATCAGGTCTGTGTTATTTGCATAAAATATGCTGTTGTTATTTGCCATTGAGTCAGACTTGACTCTTAGTGACCCCTCCTTGGGTTTCCAAGGCGGTATCACTATGGAAGTAGATTGCCCAACCTTCCTTCCAAGGAGTGACTGGTGGGTTAGTTACCTATAATATAACTATATAATTTATTGGGAAGAAAGCCTCCATGAATATAGATGCCTGGAAAGGTTTCATTGCCATGAAAAAATATATATACCTAGTACCCACAATGGGAGCTCTGGTAGCGTAGTGCCTAAGGCACTTGACTGCTAACCAGAAGGCTGGAGGTTCAAACCCACCAGCCACTCCTCGGAAGGAAGATGGGGCAATCTACTTCCATAGTGATACTGCCTCGGAAACCCAAGGAGGGGTCGCTATGAGTCGGGTCCGACTCGACGGCATATAACAACAACAACAGTACCCACAATGAGTGGGATCTAACCTGCCTTAGACTTCACTAAGTCAATGAGGGAAATTATACCCATTTTATTCACAGGTGTGCATTTTTGTGCAATTACGTGTAGGTGGTTAAAACTGATGTTCGATAGAATCCATACACAATCAAAATTGAAAGAAAATCAGTTGCTATTTTAACATGACAATAACGAAATGCAAATTTAGGGAAGAAATTTTCATTAGCACAGTTCCTTGGTGACTAGATACTAAAACATTTGAAAGCAAACACCCCACAGTTTGGGGAGCTCCATCACATAAAAGATGAGCGTTATAGACAAATTTCCCTGCTGTTTTTGTGGCTCAGTTTCTACCCCTTAAAAGTTCATGGAGATTAATCTGGAAATATTTGAAAAGTGACACATTTGGAAATTATTCTATGTCTTACCATTTTGCACTCTCTTTATCCAGGGAGAACTGCCTGGACTGCCCTTTATTACCACAGGCATTTGTTTAATCACAGAATCTTTGTTTCTTTAAAGATATTTGCTGCTTTTATTTATTCCCCACCAGAAGTCACAGTTCTTTGCATCAGAACAATCATTTCCACAGCAACCAACTGTGATTTCACAACTGAGGGAAGGAGGACAGTTTAGAAAGGAGGGAGGAAGAGAAAAAGAACAGAATCTTCAGGAAAAGGTTTCTGGGTTTTAAAATCATCTCTTCAGTAATCAAAATATTTTAGCAGAAAAACCCCATGGCAAAGCTGCATTTCTTCAAGAGTTGGCTGTGCCATAAAAAAAGCATTTTGGCGGAAATTTAAAGGTTGTATGTTGTGGGTTTGGGAAAGGACAGAGAGTTTTATTTCATTTCATTCTAATTCTGTGCCACTGATGTCTGTCGGTAAAATACGTTAAACATATTCCAGAAAGAGTTGATTTAGTAGATGAAAAGTGTGTCTCCCAAGACCCAAGAAGGTACATTTTCTGTCTTGCTATCATTTCTGTAATAGAAACAATGTTTACATTTCCTCAGTCCATGCAGTGCCTCTAATGTATTTCTGTTCTCTCACTCTCCAGAGGCAGGAATTGAGGTATTTGAGATTTTATTTTTTAGCTACCGCATCAAGCACTTAAGATCTGACAATTGTGATGTGTATTCCCACATGGTATTAAAAAATAAAAGCTTCAGTGTTTGCATTTGATTAGAGTGTCTCAGCTTGGTGGCTGATTAAGCAGGTTCCCTAAACCAACTTCTTCAGAAAAGCAGCATCTTGGCTAATGTACTGTAAGATTATTGACCGGTGTAGTCATATAATTTTTATTAAATTGAAGAGGTTAGTTCACCGTGACAGCAAACTCTAGCCGTAATAATGAGACTTGACACTCCTCAAACCCACGCCTGGGCCCCAAATGGTCTTTTTTTGTTTTATTTTGTTTTTGTTTGTTTTGTTTTTGTTTTTTGAGGGGTGGTGCAAGATCAGCATAAACATTTATAATCTATGAACTTTAGCTATTTTCTTTCACTGTAAATGACACAGACTCTTCTTATCTAGTTGCTTGAAATGGAAACATAGCCTGTCTTCAGACTGAGACCACAGTGCTCACAAGGAGGCCCCTGCTGGAAGCTTAAAGTGATGGGCAGTTAACATACATAAAAGGAGTCACTGGGTGGTGCAAATGGTTTAGCCCTGGACTACTAACTGACATGTTGGCAATTCAAACTCTCCTAGAGACACCTCTGAAGCAAGGCCTGGCAACCTGCTTCCATAAGAACAAAGCCTTGGAAACCCTATGGAGCAGTTCCACTCTGTCATACATGGGGGTCGCCATGAGTCAGGATCGATTCTGTGGCAACTAAAAGTAACAACAACAACAAAAAAAAAAAATGGGCATAAAATTATACCCTCTTCATCCTGACTCAAAATATCTGGGTTATCCAATTTTATGAGGGGAATATTTTAAAAGAGGGATAAGTGAATTTTGAAAATTGAAAACGACTATATTTTAAGGAGTGAGGCACAGCAGAAAGAGCATGTACTTTCGATAACACAAAGAAGGCAACAAATGAAGTCTATTTACATACTTCACAGAGGGGCCTTCAGGAGGATTAATTAGTTAATGTTTGGCAAGCTGTGCCTTGAAGACAAGTGATGCAGAGGTGCTATTGTCACTTATTACTGTTATTAATTAACAGGGTGAATGCCAAACAAAAATAAGCCAGGTGGTGTGCTTCATTTCTTAACACCAGATGTGATGTCTATTGCAGGAGTGATTCGGGAAAGTTACCTCAAAGGCCATGATCAGCTGGTTCCTGTCACCCTCTTGGCGATTGCAGTCATTCTGGCATTTGTCATGGGGGCCGTCTTCTCCGGTATCATTGTGTACTGCATCTGTGATCACCGGCGCAAGGATGTGACCGTGGTGCAGCGTAAGGAGAAGGAGCTCACTCACTCTCGCCGGGACTCCATGAGCAGTGTGACCAAGCTAAGTGGCCTCTTTGGAGATACTCAGTCCAAAGATCCAAAGCCAGAGGCCATCCTCACGCCACTCATGCACAACGGCAAGCTTGCCACTCCCAGCAACACGGCCAAGATGCTCATTAAGGCTGACCAGCACCACTTAGACCTGGCAGCCTTGCCAACGCCAGAGTCGACCCCAACACTGCAGCAAAAGCGGAAGCCCAGCCGCGGGAGCCGAGAATGGGAGAGGAACCAGAACCTCATCAATGCCTGCACAAAGGACATGCCCCCCATGGCCTCCCCTGTGATCCCCACAGACCTGCCCCTCCGGGCTTCCCCCAGTCACATCCCCAGCGTGGTGGTCCTGCCCATCACGCAGCAGGGCTACCAGCATGAATACGTGGACCAGCCCAAAATGAGTGAGGTGGCCCAGATGGCCCTGGAGGACCAGGCTGCCACGTTGGAGTATAAGACTATCAAAGAGCATCTTAGCAGCAAGAGTCCCAACCATGGGGTGAACCTCGTGGAGAGCCTGGACAGCCTGCCCCCCAAAGTCCCACAGCGGGAAGCCTCACTAGGCCCTCCAGGAGCCCCCCTGTCTCAGAATGGCCTGAGCAAGCGGCTGGAAATGCACCACTCCTCCTCCTACGGGGTTGACTATAAGAGGAGCTACCCCACGAACTCGCTCACGAGAAGCCACCAGGCCACCACTCTCAAAAGAAACAATACTAACTCCTCCAATTCCTCACACCTTTCCAGAAACCAGAGCTTTGGCAGAGGAGACAACCCACCACCCGCCCCTCAGAGGGTGGACTCTATCCAGGTGCACAGCTCCCAGCCATCGGGCCAGGCGGTGACTGTTTCGAGGCAGCCCAGCCTCAATGCCTACAACTCACTGACGCGGTCGGGGCTGAAGCGCACGCCCTCGCTAAAGCCGGACGTACCTCCCAAACCTTCCTTTGCTCCCCTTTCCACATCCATGAAGCCCAATGATGCGTGTACATAATCCCAGGGGGAGGGGCTCAGGTATCGAACCAGCAGGAAAAGCGAGGCGTCTGCTCAGCTCCACAAGGTTCTCAACTGCCTCAGAATACCCACCAGACGAAGATGGCCAGAGGCAGAGCTGAGGATGCTGGGTCCTCTTCTCTGGGACACAGGGATACTCTTGAAAAATGGGCCACGTGGTTTGGTGAAGGTTTGCAACTGCGGGACTCACCTCCATTCTCTTCCTTCACTCTCCCTCACAGCCTACAACAGGTTGGACTCACAAAAGACTTAAATTATCATCACAAACATGAGCCAAAAGCACATACCCACTCATCCGCACACAAACACACACACACACACACACACACACCCCCCACATGCATACAAAACACACACACAGGTGAACAAGTAACTATAACATTTTGTCCATAACTGCACGGGGCATTGCCAAACCGGGCTAGCCTTCCAACCTGCAAAACACAAACACATTTTTTAAAAAACATCACGAAAATTAAAAAGACAAAAAAATTAAGAAATCATTGATAATTCTAACTCAGACTTTAACAATGGCAGAAGTTTACTATGTGCAGATACTGTGAAATGCCCACCAGTGTTACAGCTTTCTGTTATAGCAGATTAATGCCATGTTGGGCAACTATGTCATAGATTTCTGCTCCTCCTCTCTTTTAATGAATAACGTGACCGTTAACGCAAGTAACTCTTTATTTATTGTTCACCTTTTTATCCTTAAGGAAAGGACTCTTCCACATACCATCCTACGAACAGCTCTTCAGAAAGCCCATTGAAAGTTAAACTATTTAACGTGAAATCCATTAACTGGAATAATTAAGTTTTTTTATTTTTACAATAAATTCACTGAGTAAATAAGTTGGAGCTGGAATTCTGAGCTTTGTGTTTGGACTGTCTGATCTCTAGCTAAAGGAAAGAGTTAAGAGGGGGATATTTATTTAAATCCATCAGTTAATTTGCTGGTCAGGTCTCTGGCCTATAACATGCAAAATAATAATAATAATAATAATTAGTTTAAAAGTCCTTCCAGATCCTAACTTCTAAAGCAACCAGGAGAGAAACTTTTAGAATGGCACATCCTCCCTGTCCCGTTGCCACCAATGTGGCTTTGTTGGTGGTTACTACTTTCTGTGAAGGCACCAGCTTGTGATCCGCCATCTCATTTCACCTTGCATGTGAGACTGCAGACAAAATCAACAAATGGTGTGAACTAATTAATATGCTGGCTGCTACCTTACATAAATTAATGGTTTGATCACACGGGTTTTTCATGGGGTTACATCTGTGAATAGCCTGTTTTCCACATGTAAATTTGTGCCTTACACCCAAGTTGTGTACACTTGTAAACTGTCGGTATGATAAACTTTTCCCCCTTTTGAAGTAAATGCAAATATTTATTTAACCCTCCTTCCCCCCACCTCCACTCCAGCCCTCTGGGAGATTGGAGTCAAGCAGATGGAAGAAGAATGCAGTGGTGATCATTATAATCCCATAGTCCAGGAAAGCTAGGCAGCACCACACCCTCCAATTCACATTTCCTTCTAGTTGTGCCAAGCTGAACTACCCTTTGGCCATGCTGCTGCTGAGTATGGATCCCAGTGTTGTGGGTGGCAAACCCCTTCTTCCTCCAGAGATCCCTGCTTCCCTTGTATTCTCAGATCATTTCAATATGGTGATATCCTCATTAGCAAGCAGGAAAGGGACTGGTGTCTCCATCTTTATTTCTGCTGTGTCCACTTGCTGGAGAACATGTGTGCAGTTGGGCAGGCACCTGGGAGGGGTCTCTAAGCCATGTGCTCTGAACACACATGCAATGCACACAAAGAAATAACATGGAAATAGATGCAGGCAGGCTGGCCCCTGCTGTGATTAATGAATAACTCTTAAGTACAAAGCCAACCACAATGGATATTTGCAAAACGTTGACTAGGGCAAAAGATTTTTAGTTTGTTTTTTTTTTAATTATGCTTTTGTTGTTATTGTTTGTAGAGGGTGGGGGGGGAGTGTGTTTTTCTCCCCTTGGTTTTCATTTGCTCAAACATACAGAAGAAAGAACTTTTGTTTATTATGACAAAAGAATTGTCAACATACTGTAAAACTTGAGCATTGTTGTTGGTTGTTATTGTTTTGTTAAACAGCTAAACTGTTTGGTGATCTGTTGGTCTCTTTTATTTCCAGTTTGATCTTCTGGATTTAGTTTTTCTTAATAAATAAATAAAACTTGAACAAAAAAAAAGACTGACAAGGACAATTTTGAGTTGGCTAGTGAGAAACTGGTGGTCGCCTTGAGTGTGTAGTAAGGGTGAGTACACCCTTGGTTTGAAGTATCCATTGCAATTTTGTTGTTGTTGTTCAGGATAGTGTTTTGTTGTTGTTGTTACTATTACATGTTTTGGGTTTTGTTTTGTTTTGTTTTAGTGGACTCAGTGGTCACATCCTATGTACTATGTAGGTTGAAACATGAAGTCTTTTTTTGAAGCTGAGATCTTGTTTTTTCCCTTGAATTTTCTCTAGAAATGCAGACATTAGGAAAGTTATGGATATATACACACACATCACCCTGCTATCTTCTCCCCATGCTTGACTTCCTAGAGTATTGATGATGCAGTGCCCACCAGCGGGCAGAGTTGAAATGTGATCCCAGTGTGTGTGGGCGTCACTGCCTCAACTGTGTTAAGTCAATCTGATCTGCGTCAAAAGTGACCTTCCTGTCCCACTGTGTCCCACAACCCATCACTTGACGGTGTTAACCCTAAAATGCCCACATGTATTGAGCAGGTCTTCTGCAGTTAAGTATTTCCCCCTTTTTTTCCCCACTGTGTGTGGGGGTAGGGTCCATAAACCTGAGTGTGCCTTTGCTTTCCACCCCTGCTAGCCACTGGTAGATGCACCCAACTCAGATTTATATTTGTTGTAAAGTTGTAAAAATATTGTGATGTCACCAATATCCCTGCCATCTCCACATCCCCTAACATCTGATTCACGACTTAATGTATGTTATAAAAAAAAAAAAAAAGGAAAAGAAAAGAAAAAAAAGGGGAAAAAAACAAGGAAAAGGCTCTTTATTACTTGAAAGTAATAAAACCAGACTGTTCTACATTATCTTTTGTGTGCTGAATGCTTTTATTTCTCTCTTACTTTTCCCCTTTCTAACATCCCACCTTCTTTATTTTTTTTTCCTGTGTGATTCTACTCTTCCTCCATTTCCATCTGATTTCCAAAGCATAAATAACCATGTAGTTATAGGCATTTATTTGCAATACACCCCCCTCCCTCTCCAAATTATTGATGTTTTTTCTTTGCCTGCACCCAGCCTGGAGCAGGACTTTAGCAGAAGCCACTGGTAATTAAAAGGCAGAGCACGCATTGACTCCCTCTATTCATTTTATGCATTTTCTTTTTATGGGCTTGTTCATCATCAAACATTTATGGTAAGCTTGATAGTTTAAGAGATCAAGGGTAGGATTTTAGTATGTAGGGTCCACTAAAAATAGATCTCAGCACAGATGTGACTTCAGCCTTTTTACATATTAATAAGGTGGGGGGGTGCTGGATTTTACTCCTTGTTAGCATTTATCTCTGGTAATCCAGAAGACTGTTGGAGTCATATCGAGATATAGCACTTGATTTTTCTTTTGCAGAATAGCAATATGAAATGCCTAGATCAGGTTTTCCCTCTGGGATATTTTAAAAAGTCATTTAAATAAGTCCTCAGCTATAGTATTTTACTTTTGACTTTCTGGAACTTTTTTTTTTTTTTTTTAATATTTCAGGAAACATTAATTAAGTAATCTAGGAAAGCTGTAGGTTGAGGTCTCAGTTTATCACTTATACTGGCTCAGCTTGGTCCAGTCACCATTTGATAAGTAATGTCTAATAGTATTTCTTGAATTCTACCCATAGTATGAGACACTATTAGACACAAAGTTTAATAGAGTGTAGTTTCTGTGTCCTCGTTTGCAAAGAAATATTGGCATCTCCCCAGCAATACCAGTCAAGTATGGCAGACATTGGAGCAGGAGGTAACATTTCACCTGGTTCTTACAGAATGAGTAAGAGTTCTTTGGACAGTTATTCCAGGTAGAGGGAATAATTTCTGCAAAAGTGCAAGAGTGCTGTATTTGTGAAACATAAGAATATAGAATCTATGGAGGAGCAAGGCTGAGAAAGAGGATTGGGAACAGACAAGGAAAGGCCTGGTTACCATGTGTTTGGATTTTAGCTGTTGGGCAGCAGAGTGCTTTTATTAAAGTGTATGAAACAGCAAACAAACATATACATTTGTGCTTTACGAAGCTTCCTAGCAGTAGTTTGGAAAATGGACTGGTCTATAGAGAGGCTATGGGCAGGCAAAGCAATGTATCAGATGATGACTGTCTTAATTATCCAGTGCTACTATAACAAATACCACAAGTGAGTGACTTTAACAAACAAAATTCGTTTTCCCACAGTTTGACTAGGAGTCCAAATTCAGGGCGTCAGCTCAAGGGCAACACTTTTTTGTCAGCTCTAGAGGAAGGTCCTTGAATCTTTTCAACTTTCGTTCCTCGGTTCCTTGGTGATCTTCATGTGGTACGGCATCTGTCTTCCCCATCTCTGCTTGTTTGCTTCCTTGCTTGCTCTGTTCTTTTATATCTCAAGAGATTGATATAAAATACATCCTACCCTATTACAGCCTCATTGACATAGCAAAGAAAACTCATTCCCAACTGGGATTATATAGCCATAAGTATAGGAGTTAGGATTTACAATGTCGATTTTGGGGTTCACAGTTCAATCCATAACAGCGATCAGGTTGGTAGGTACAACACAAATGAAAACCCCACCTCTGATTTCATATTCTTTGGGAAACGGATATGGATCATCTCTTTTGCTAGACAAAAGAGCTTCCTTCTCTTGTGACTGATGGGTTTGCCCTGCCCAGTTATACACAAACGTCTTATCATAGAACTAGGGGAATAAGCAACAGCTAGTTTGGCACTAAAGGGAAGGAAGCTGCGTTCCACTGAGGTGAAAGGATTTACCCATGATCCCAAAACTGGCAGTCAAACCACTCTTCCAAAGACAAATTCAGTGTCTCTACCCACATTCACTCAGATCATTAGAGCAATCCTAGCTAGAAAGACTTGGCACTACCCTTTCTACACAGCCTCTCCATCCTTTCTCACAGGAAACTTCATACACTACCTGGCCCTACTCCAGCTGGCCATCCCAAATTTTTATCAGCTCTAAGACGGGGGTAGAGCAAGAGCCAGAATCGCACTGGCTTGTCAATCTGATAATTTGTAGTGGTGGCTTTTGCTTCAGTCAGTCTTGTTGGTATGGTGAAAAGGTGAAAGAGGTTGAACAGCCTGTTTTTCAGTTGAGGCTCCAGGGTTGTCTCCACTCAGATGTGAGAAGTAACTAAGACCCAGATTTTTGGTTATTGTGTTTGGTTGGTTGGTACAGAGTTGGAGATTTCTGTAGGGTGCTTTTAGACTTTTGGCCTAAAGAGTAGCTGTCCCAATACAGCCAATAGGCTAGGTGTTTACTGAATAGAAGAAATGCCATGGGCTGCCAGATCTGAAGTCTTCAACCTGCTTGCTTTACTTAAGTGCTATGTCAAGTAAACACAAATTGGTCTTCTTGTTCAGCTTTGTAATTTGACAGACGCCAAGAAAGATGGCCCAGAACCACAGTGCCTAAGTTTACTGCTTGAACAAAAGCTCTTTCAAAAAAGTCATTCAGCAAGTGTCAGAGAGGCACCTACAATTTCAGACACTGGTACATTTTTCTTGAAGGAAAGGGGTGTGGGGAAGTCAAAAGAACCCTTTGGTAACAAAATAACATGATTAAGAACATAATCCTTTTCCTAGCTCAGCACTGTGACAGCTGGGTGCTTGGATTCAGTAACCCTTATAAAACTCACATCTCATGCTTGTCTTAAAACCAAGTGGTGACGTGTCTCTTGTACAGAGTGGGAAGGAGGGTTCACATTTATTGATTGGGACTGCCAGACAGATGGGGATCTTCAATATTCCACTTAGAGTATTGTATATCCTTAGCTCTCCCCGCCCCCCCCCCCGGGCTGCCTGGAGGTGGGGGACGGTTGACCTCAACAGAGGGTTAGGGCTGAACTGATGTGCATTAAATGTGGCAAGGCAGAAAAATGTGCAGATGTCACTCTAGCAAATGGAAATGAAATTTGAGCAAATCAAGAGAGGCAGCTGAGTGGTGGGATGTTCCCCAGCCCCTGTGCAAACACATCCATGCACACATGTTCACACACAAATGCAATCATGGCAGCCTGTTCCTCTAAATGTCAAAAACCAGAAATGTCACAGAGGTCAAAACCCATATCTGCAGAGGGTGAATCCTTGGGAGGCCTTTCATCTCTTTTCCAGGTAACACATCAATCCCACCTTAGCACTTTCTGGTCACAAAGTAGACTCTCCCAAAATTAACTGTCATAAACTATAGTCTCAGAGATAAGAACCAGGACCTTTGCCAAGGAGCCTAGACAATCACCGTCAGATAGAAGAATCCTTTGAGAATCAGTGGCATCACCCCCAAAATAAGTCATCAGTCCTGCTAACAGACTGCAATAATGATCCAAATAAAGAGAAACTAATGAAGGAGAAAAGTAGGTAACCTGAAATAAGAAGCATTTTTCATTAACAGTTTTCAGTATAAAACAGTTGAAGGTGACATTGGACACAATGCCAAATGCCAGAAAGCCAACCTGAGGGAACACAATGTTTCTTAGGATGAGAACGATGATGAAAAATCAGCCCAATAACCGAATGCTCTCTTTTTTTTTCCTGTTCCTCTCAGTAACTGCCCTTGCCATCTAATGAGGTGGTGAGCAAGTAAGTGGGCTGTTCTCAGCAAAATTTAGTGTCACTTCTCTGGTGTGGATACCAAACATTTACACATATGTCTAGTCCCATGTCAGTGCAAAATCATGAATTCCAACAAAATGGCTAAAGTTTATTTCATAAAAATTAAAAAGCAGAATGGTACCACCCAGAGAGGGGCAGGGCTTCCAATTGTCAATAACAATGACCTTTTACATTTGTAACGTTTTATAGTTTGCAGATGTGGTCTTGTCCATTATATGGCTCAGTTCTTCAAACAGCCTAGTTGGGAGGGCAAGACAAATAAAATCATTTCATTTTGCTCATAACAGAGTTTGGAAAGGAGGGGGTCTATTGGAGCATTAATCAACGACAACAAAGTAGTAATGTTTCAAAAACCTGTGTGCTGATATCATCTCCTGGCTCTCTAGGGGATACCTCAGGTTACACAATTACTCTGCTTCTCTGAAGGGGACAGAGCCTCTCACAGCCTTTCCCAGGAGAGATGGTAACAACAATAAAGTCCCCAAAATAAAGACTAAGCACACACATTCTATTTTAAGGGCATTGTGCGCTAATATTTTTCCATCATTAAAGAACACATCTCTTCCTTCCTGTGTCTGCAAAACCCTGATGTCAGCAGTGTTACTAGGAATTGTCAACAAAGCAGGAAAAGAGGGAGTTGAAGCAAAATTTGGTGACCTCCCTTCTTGAGGCACACCCTGCCACTCAGGGTCAGTGACAGACGGCCTCAGTGGGAGAAGAAAGATGGAAAGCTCTGCTCTTTAACAGCTGCTTCTTCACATACAAGTCCCAGAGACCACTAGAGAAACTGTAAGAGCTTAAGAGAAACCAGGATTTGTTGGCAATGGAGAACAAATATCCTATACTAAGAAGGATGAGAAGATTTTCCACCCTTCTCTTCACCCAGGATGATGCAAATGGTTAACATGCTCTCTGAACAATTAACTGAAAGGTTACACGTTTGAGTCCACCCAGAGGTGCCTCAGAAGAAAGACCTGGTGATCAACTTCCAAAAACTTAGCTATAAGAAACCCTATGGAGCACAGTTTTATTCTGGCACACATTGGGTTACCATGAGTTGGAATCAGCTCAAATGCAACTGGTTTCCCTGCACGGAAGCCCGAGATAAAGTAAGTGTGAAAGTAAGCGGTAAGAAATACTCACTTTGGTTTTTTTCATGTTAGCCCATTAGCCACTGTTCTGGTTACTTAGTGCCACTCTGACAGGAATACTTAACCAGGC